TCGAAATTAGAAAAGCAGAAAAAAAAAATATTTACATTTATGTAAATAAATATTTAACACAAACATATTTATTAATTATCGATGGAAATTTACATATAAATGTATATAAATATGTATTCTTTTTATTTGTGTTAATTACTAACTGTTTGAAAATATCGATTTGAAATGATAAGGTAAAATGTGTATATCTTTATGATATTCATTGATTTAATAGATTATTCTTTAATTGTTTTAGAAGACGATGAATTTACAATGTCAAAAAACAACAGAGAAACGTAACGGTCAACTTTTTATTACAAATATACTCATCTACATCGAATAATTGCTAATTCACAATCTCTTAGTATACATTTAAACAGACTGGAATTACATTTAATAAAATTCATCTTTCTTTTATGTAATCTACTGATATTGTTGTTTGTTTTTTTTTGTCATCAATTGCTTTCAAAGCATATCATTTGCTCGAATAAAGATTAGAAACTTAATCGTCAATTAGCTTAAAAACCTTGGTATTTGCTTCTTGAGCAACTTTTGCCAAAGTCACGTGAAATCATTAAAAAAAATAGATAACATTTTTAAGCGTTAAAAAGTCATCGAAGATAAGCTTTTCCAATATCATTAGAAAACATATGCCTGATAGCGCCGAAAATATGATTTTTAAATAGCATTTTAACACTTTCAAATGTAGCCTTCTTTGAGTTTCTACATCTATTTTGATGAGCTATGAAAATAACCAAAGCAAACTACACCTATGTGCTTTTACAATGGCTGTTTGCATTAGGCATGCATCAGGACTTTTCCGCTTTTTTTTTACAGCACTTCCATATGCAGAATCTACACAAGACGTAGGATGTATGAGAATGTTGTGAAAACTTTAGAATTGTCGAGCAGATAGATTCTTTTTACAAAATAAGATATTAGCGAGGTTTATACGGTGCGCGGTTCCGCTTTTATTATAGTTTTATGGGAAGCTCTGATCAAGATTGAACTCAACATTTCCGATTCCGTTTCCGGGTGGAGTGGTCCATAAAACTAAAAATAGTTCATAGGAAATTGTAATAAAGTATCACGAATAATGGGATGCTCGACAGAATATTGATGAAAGACGGCAGTTGCAAGTAACAATCAAACGAAATTGGATTCGATTAAGTAAAGTGATATCTTTCTACTTTGTTTATTCTGAAGTAATACAACACTTTTGATAAAATTTTTTTCATAATTTTTTTTCGGAACTTTATAAAAATTTTCAGTTTTGTAATCTCGATGAAATCATCAGTTGATCCTTTTCTCAAGTTTTTTTTTCTTATTGATACTAAAGAATTGAATATTTTTCTTCATCTCATTTCTTTTTTGTTTAAAATAATCTTAATGAAACTGTTTAATTTCTTGTACATGAATGGAAAATTGAATACTTATCACTTCCTAAATAGTAGCTCGTCTTCTTTTCTTTTTCAATCTCTGTTTGTATTCATTATCAATATAATCACTCAGCAGCTTTTATATCATCAACGACTTATTCTTGCTATTCAAAAAGTGCGTTGCGCAAAATTAAACAATTTTAAAAATAGTTGAAAGCAAAAAAATTGAAAAAGATGAGAATAAAGAATTCATCTTACATATTTATATTAACTTATATTTCACTTTAATGAAATCTTGTTAAATCTAAGAAGTTCTAGAGTTTGCCAATATATTCAATCAAAACTTAGTTTGTCTTAACAAGCTCTAACCAAGAAAAAAAAGAAAAATTTTTAAGCTTATATTTATTTGAATCAGTTTTTTATCGATGTTTATGTCTCTTCAAAGTTAATTTAGCTTATAGATGATATTTAAAGCACGAATATATTATGTTGTTAAGTTTTATTGAGTTATGTTTCAACTAAAAACAATGAAAGACTTTTTAATTTATATATTCCCTGTGCTTGAATAATAAATGTCTTTTCTCGGAATTTGATGCTAAAATATTTATTTGCTTGTTCATAAAAATTCTTTCGAACATCATTTTCTGATGCCGACACAAAAGTCATTCGTGCATACATTACGAATATGAATACGCTATCTACTTAACAGGAAAAAGTACGTGCTATGTTCTGTTAATAAAAATGAAAATTAGAATTTATTTTGAAATCAAAAAAACTATTTCATAGTTTAGTGCTTGATTTAAAAACGAAATCTGTCTAAGTTTATTTTTACTTAACACTCAATATTGCCTGTGATATATATACATTTAAATAAACTGTTCCAATATTCTATTAAAATTTTCCGCGAATTATTTTTTAAATAACAGAAGCCCACTTGTAAAAAAAAGTGATGTAGGCACAGCAGAGGTCGTGTCACCAAAATTGCGTCACTTTTAATGATTAATTAAAGAATTTTCAACAAATTTCGATAGTAAGTATTTTTGTATAATATTAATTTTTTTTTCTTCTGCTTAGATTATCTCAATGAACAGCAAGTATTATTTACTGCGGATAGAGAGAAAAAAAATCATTTTTCTTCTCATTCCCACGAAAAATGTATGAGCACGATGGTAAATGACGGTGGGATAAACGTCAAGACGTGTTATAGTCATAGATTCGAATACTACGACTAGGTTGGACCATCAAAAACATTATTTGAATAATCGCGATAAAATCGCTGATTTCAATTACATGGGAATTTTTTATATTTTTGATCGACATGAAATTATGATTAAGTTATCACAATCTATTATTTAATAGTAATGTCAACATCTTGAATTGATGTCACTGATTGAAAAAAAAGAAAAACTCCGTTTATCCTAAACTGCTGGAAGTTAATGGACCATCCATCAAGGAACATTCTTTTGTAATGGAAGCACAAAGAAATATTCAAGTTCAAATACGAAAAAAACAAGTTCATTTACTAAAACTATTTAATTTTCTATGTATTTTACATAGTCTGTTCTTATTAGGAATATTTTTTGACTTACTGTTATTATTAGAGACAATGCTGCTAATAAAGACAAATTCAATTACTTACAAACTATCATTAATTTTCAAGATAATTGAATGATTTTTAAAAAAGAAAAATTTTCGCGCTTCCGAAAAAGCTGCTTGAATTAACAACATTGCCTATGTAATCACAGGTGTTGAAAAAAAAAATTTCTGGGTGTTTTTCCTTTTTGATGTTTTCTGTTATTGTACAAAAAGAGAAAAACTGAATTTTCATTTTTGATACATGCTAATTACGCTTCGATTATTAATTTTGAGATTGATAAATATGAAAAATGCTTATTTGCAAACACAAATCTAAGTAATACATCCAGAAAATGAATTCTTCCATTAAGGATAGTAGGTTTGTATAAAACTGGAAAACACTATCTATGTAGCTTTTTATCTCCATTGATGTAAAGACCTTGACTCACTATTATGGCTACCAATCATATTTTTCAATAAAAGGGCTATGCCTAGTGGAGGAATACGATGTGTACATGACCATTTACGATGCAATGTGACGTGTTAACATGGTCAGTTATATGGCCGTATTTATGATAGAATGCGGTAATATTACGAAATCTTTACACCATTTTACGGCGAGAATACGCTATCATATATGAACAGTAGTACAGAGCGAGTGATATAGGCACAATATGGCGTAAAAAAAAACGCCTATTGATGGTAATGTTACAGTAATTTACGATGACCCATAACGATTGAACTAAGATATTCATTTATATACAACACAGTTGTCAACAGCCAAAATCAGACGGACTAATATTTTGATTTTTTGAAACCATGAAATTCTATAATTTTAAATTAATGTATCATTCTAATTATTGTTGATTATCTACTTAATTTATTCTTTTAGGAAGTTAATACAACAAAAAGTGCGAACAAAAAATAGCAAATTAAAATAAAGACATAAATCATTATAAATATTTTTATACAAGAAAGATTTAAATTATATCAGCAGTACTTCATATACTCAATTTAAATCGTTTCTCGTAAAAGTAAACAAAACAAAAAAGAAGAAGAGATTTTTTGTCTGTCAACTGAAACATGAAATAGATTTCTTTTTTTTTCTTATAAACGTATATTCAAGCTTTATATATATATATATATATATATTCAGAAGCAATGAGACCTTAATAATATTTGTACAAAATATAATACTGATCATTATTTAAAGCAATTAACATAACAGATGACACTCTCTGGTAATTCATTGGGGAGCTCAGAGTTGTAATTATCTACCAAAAAGGTAGGTGGCGCTAGTTAATGATATTAGCAAAATTAAAAAATTAAAAACAAATCAGACAGAAATATGGTATAACAACACTGTAAGTTACGCCTAGTTTTACCGTACAAACGTCTTTTCAATTGATCTAGTTATAAGACGTCATGAACAAGTGCATTAGTGGATTTCTTGTAGAAATGATGCGATGAATCATTCACATCAGTTAACGTCACTCTCTTTTTTTTCTTCTAACAAACTGTTCGCCAATAATTAATGATAAAAAAATGTTAGACATAATCATCAACCTGTGACGCTATCTTATGTTTCAAGTTTACTACTATAAGAGAAATTAGTAATACACCGCATAGAGACGAACAATTTGGGTCCAGTGACGAATTCAGGATTTTGTCAAGCAGATGGCGATTTCTAAACGATATCTTCGGAAGCCATGTAAATTATTTTCCGCGATCAGTCAGGTAGTGTGTTCGTGCACATATCGTTCTCTACGTACCATTTGTATACAAAAAATCTACAAATTTATAAGTATATAGTTTTTATTAAAATAAATCAATGAATAATAAAATCGAAAGATCCAGATGATGATTAAATTTAGAAAATTCATCAATAAAAAAAAAACAATTTTATATCTAAATCTTGACAACTATACATCATAGCTACATTGATTTAAGTTGTTTCTCTGATGCTATTGAGTTTTTCATACAATATATAGTGAAAAGGCGAGATTTTTCTCAGAAAACATTCAAAACCTCTTGACAATCACTTAGATTGTCCTCGTTGAGGTCATAGTTGTAGTAATGTTTGATTTTAAATGACTCAAGCTTTTATTTATTTTTGAAGTCTTTATCAATGAATGGTAGTAATGAGTAATACTCTTTTTGAATGAGTATCTATTACTCATCAGAGAAACTTACTAATCATTGAAATTGTATTTTAATCATAGCGGTTGATATCTTTTGGGCAATTGTCTCGATTTCAAAATTTTAATTCGTTTGTGCAAACATTTATTAAAGAGACTATATAAAAGACTTCTTTACTACTTTTATTCATGAGGAAGTAGCAACTGTCGGACTACTAGATCCGTCACTACTTAGGCGATGTCTAGCTTTTGAGTTTACTCCACTATAATATAAAACGATTGGTGAACTATTGACTGATTTATTAATTAATTTCGTTCGAAATTAATTGAACATTTTAGATAGAGAGGTATTTGTTTTTTGAATTTTTAATGTTTAATATGAATGTTAGATTTAATTGAGTTCGATGTAGTTTTGTAGGCAACTATTTTTAGACTTAATTGCATGCAATAAAAATATTAATAATGACATTTTTGTGTGTCATTTAGTCATACTAAATATTGATTAGTAACACTTTAGTGTAAAACTTTAATTTTTCTTATATCAAAAGAAATGAAAAACAATCGTGGAATGCTCAATACATTTCTTTTGAAAACAGAAGTTTTCAAATAAAAAAGAAAATTGAATATTATAGACAATATGCAGCAATATGGATTCGTATTTTGTAGTTTTAACCATTATATTTCTATTCACGGACAAAATAGATGTGATATTCGGAATTAGCATCAAAAATTGAGTCAGATAATATATTTTTAATGTAAAAAAAAATAGAATTCTATGGAAATTACACCCGTACTTCGCTCAGCCTTTTTTTTTATACAATTTCATTCGTAGTTGCTCCAGCATAGAGTTTTGAGGAAAATATCTTTTTCTCTACATAATAAATATATTATCCCACTCAGTATTTGATGTTCATTTTGAATATCATATCCATTTCGGCCCTATATCGAGTTATAATGATTAAAATTGCAAAAAATACAAATTTATTTTGTAGCATATTGTTCATAATATTAAAATAATGTATTCCACGATTATTTTTCATTTATTCTAACTTACGAAAAATTTACGTTTTACATTAGTGTCATTAATTAGTAATTTAACAGCACATAAAAAGGTCATCTTTAAAATTATTTGTTGCATATAATTAAGTCTACAAATAGTTGTCTACAAAACTACGCCAGAATCAACTAAATCTAACATTCGAAAATCAAAAAAAAAAGATACCTCTCTCTGTCTAAAATATTCAATTAATTTTGAATTAAATTAATTAATAACTCAGTCAATAGTTCACAAAATTTTTTATTTATTACATATGCATGTATTCTCTACAAACTGACAAAGTTTGAAGATATATTTAGGCGAGGGGCGAAAGGATATCACCTCTTAAAGTATAATAAAATTATACTGTAGATATTCATTATTTTTGATATGTTATATTTCTTTGTAAATGAAATATTTTGTTTTTTCTTCATTCTCATTAAATACAATTTCAAGCTTTGATTGTTATCTTATTTGATACGGTGACATGATACTTGAAAGAATGTTAATATCTCATTATTTTTTCGAATAAACTGATGTTTTTTTTATTTCATTTTCTAAAAATGAAGACTCAATTATTTAAAATATTCTTTCATAAACACATATGATTTATTATGTTGATTTGTCGTAGTTGAAAAGAATAATCGGTTATCGAAGGGCAGACAGTGAATGTTAAACCTTGATCAAGTGTATTCATATGAATAATAGAAACAACTGTTCTTTTTCTTCTGTGATAATATACCTAATGTCATCTATGTGTATTAATAAATAATAACGTACACGTAAATATAAAAAAAAAGAAAGGTTCATATTAACATGTTATTGGAATAAAACGTTTTGTTGCTTTATCATAAATTTCTGTGATATATTGTGTTTGTGCTTTTCTCTGTAATATATGATCATTATTAGGATAATAAGGAATAACTTCCCATTGTTGAGTCGCAGGTAAAGGTGAATAATAATTGTAATGATTCATTTTTATACGACCTGTATGAGCTGATTGAGATCGTGATGATGGTGAATGAGTTTGCTTAACAATACTTGTAATAAAAGCACCTGATCGTTTTTTACGTGATGCTGTAGGATCAAATACCATCATTTCACGATTTGATTTACCAGATGCCATTCTTTTATCTGTCATAGCAACTTTTTCTATGAATTTTTTAGCGTCATTTTTTATTTCTTGTTCAGTAGGTTCATCTGTAATTGATGCTGTTTTAATTAGAATTGGTTTAACCTGAATATATAAATGATAAATAAAGTTTGAAAAGTAGAATAGAAAAACAAAAAACAACAACTTTACCTTTTCAGAATGAGATACTTTTGGTTGAACTTGAACTTGAATTGGAATGATTTGTATTGAATCAGCACTTGTTGATGATTGAACACTTGACGTTGATGTTTGTCCTACACTTGATGTTGATGTTTGTCCTACACTTGATGAATCAATAGATGAGAGATGTGTAGAATTAGAAGATTCATTGTTAGATTGGTCTGGTGGTGGTAATATCATAGGAATTATTGGTTGTGCAGGATGTGATGTGACAGATGGTTTATGTTGAATTGGAATTTCAGTTGATGGTACAGTTTTAACAGCTTTCATAATAGCTGCTTCTTGTCGTTGTCGACGTCGATCAACAAGAAAACGATCAAAAAGAATTAATTGTTTTAGAAATCCATCATTAGGTACAACACATGGACGAGCTTTAATAACATGAACAAGACATTGTTCAAGTGAGACATTATATGAACGCATAAGATAAGCAACAACTATAGCTGGTGATCGACTGTTAAAAAAATATGATATTTTTATTAAGACTTTTTGTTTTTTTTAATTTTCATATTTACCTTTGTCCATGACTACAATGAACAAGTACACGAGATTTATTTCGTCTTGCTTCATCAATAAATGCAAATGCTTGATCAAATATTCGTATAATATTTTCTCGATCATCATCACGAAGATCAATTGTAAGTGTACGTATATCATTTGAATAATATGGACATAATTCAACATCACGTATAGCTACATTAAGAATATAACGAATGCCTAATTTTGATAGGCGATGCGTATCGTGTGCTGAAATACAATTACCAAGAAATAGATAAGGTTCAAGAATAAGTGATGGTTCAGTAACATTAAAATGTGTTTTAAATAAACGATGAAGACGATTAAGACGTGCTTCTGACGCTAAAGTTTGACTAATATTTGTTCCTGTTGTTGCTCCTGTTGACTGCCACTGTTTTGCATAGGACATTTTTTGATATGAATAAATGATTGTCAATGGGAAGAGAGACGAACAAATGAAGATGCAAATGTTGTATGTATACGTATATGTGTACGATTCAAGTGTCACTTTCTATTTTTGTTCTTTCTCTTTCGCTTTTTTTTCGCTTGCTCGCTCGCTTGTTGCTCTTGTTTTATAGCATTTCGATCAGAATAGTATGCGGGCATTTCATGCATGCCTACGTGCATGAGTACATATATACATCTAGATAATATCGATAATGAACGAAAAGATGATGACCTGTTGATTGAATGCATATGATAAAAAAAAATCAGCGAATATCGATGAAGATATATCACTCTGAGTTAAATCAAGATATGAAAATAACAATATACAATAGGCATAAAGATGTATAATATATTATTATTATTACTCATTTTGAATCGGTACAGAAAAGAAACATGACTAATTTTCTTTTATATTAATAAAAGCTTGAATGTTTTTTCTGCATCTAAATTCGTTATCAGTGAAAAGAAAAAAAATATTTTAACCTTGAATTTAATGGTACGACAACAAAGCATATTTTTCTCGCCTCATTCCAAGGCTAACGAATGGTGTCTCTTTTTTTTCTGGGCCATCGACCTTATTATCAATAGAAAAAAAAAGAAAAATTAGTAATCAATGAATAAGAATATTCAATAAATTATTTTCGAAAAAGAAAAACAACTTATAAAATTTTCAATATAATATTCGTACAAAAACGAAAACAATGATTGATAAAAAAGTTTCTTATTTATATACTTGAAATTATTTTGATTATCATTAAACATAATTGTGTTTCAATTTGTTAAATAGAAAAAAATTAAAGCTAGAAAGAAAAAGAAACAAATTAAAATTATTTATTTATTTATTTATTTACGCCCAGTAAAACCAAATTCAGTTGCACCATCTTCAATTTGATCAGAATATTGCCAAAGACCACGACGTGCTACTTTAGCTATTGTTTGTGCTTGTTGTAATTCATCATATAATAATGTTGAACGTATTTGACGACGATTACGTTCTTGTTCAATAATAATAAGACCTTGTTCAACTATTTTTTTTACTATATTTTCTTTTGTATTAATATAATAAAGTGATATATATTCAATATTATTTTGACGATATTCAACTTTTATTAAACATTCATTATTACCTATTTCATCTAATAAAGCATTTTTAGTTTCTTGTCGATCATCTTCATCTGGTGGTGCTCGAACATAAGCTAATTCATATTCATGAGCTTGACTATTTAATTGTAAAAAACCTAAAAAACAAAATAAAACAATAAAATGATTCGATAGAATCCTGTCGGACAAACTTTTCCGTATCCCGCCGAGTCTAGTTGACTGAAAAACAGCTGACTACACAAAGTACAGTAGCCAACTTATTGTTTTTCACTAGATTAGTTGTCATGACAGATTTTTCTTCTTATCAACGCATTAGCTAATCGTAAAAATGTGACGAGTGCATATCTGAAAAACGTTTTTCCAAAAGCTCGATTCGGTTCGGAGGCTATAAAAATACGGAAAATGATAATTAACAGCTGAGAATTTCTTTATATAGTCATAGATGATTCAAGCTGAAAAAGATCATTAATATTTCAGACGTTGCATGCTTCAGCTGAGTCAAACGCGACTGAAATTCATTACGATTTCCTCTACGAAAGTCTAAGATGTCGTATATGATCGCGTTCTGAAATTTTTCGGGTACATGCAGTCAGCCACCTTTTCTATTCGAATGGCAGTCTAGTTCGTTTTTTTTATAATTTTTTTGAATATTAAGATATTTGTTAGAAATAAAAAAATTACAATATACAACACATTTTGATATAAGAATTAAAAAGATTCGGCATTTAGCATTGGTCCATAGGACTCCATAATCCAGTAGGATGATTCGTTTCTATATTCTTCTCCTGCAATAGAATGTAATTTTCATTCATAAATAGACTTTATGACTATTAAAAAACCTTCCGAAAGTTTCAGAATGAATTAGTATTAATTTTTTGATTTATTTAAATACTTAAAAAAAAATTCAATTATGAATAAGAAGAGAAATGTATCAGAAGAAAGTTGAAGTCATCTTTCTTTACATTCTCTTCTTCTTGATTGATGATCATTTTAGTGAATTTTGCAACAACATATCACGATTGGACTCTGATCACTTTCAAAGTTGTTTTTTTTTGTATATTCAAACTTCTTGAAAATCGAATTTAAAGATATTCGATGCTTCATAAACCAAAATTTTTGTTTTGTTTTTGTAGCCATTGCATAATCTAAAATGGTATCTATCTACTGAGTATATTTCGGAATTCAACAATTGGTTTTAAACAGAAAAATTGAATTTTCCCCCTTTTTCTCCCTGAACTAAAATTTATTTTCTGTGACAACTAGAATCCAATCGGGGTGCATATATTTTCCTGTTCCTTAAAATAATGTTCTGATGATTTTTGGCAGATCTTACAAAATTTGCTCTATGCAAAAAAAAAACAAACATCTCAATTCGATTCTAATTGTTACAAAATCCAATTGAAGGAAGCATCCGGGAGTTTTGAGCCTACGAGTTTGACAACAGTAAGATTCAAAAGAACTGATTAGAATTCTCATCATGATATATTTTATCTATAAACTTTCTTTTTTTTATATCTCTCATAAATATTTAATTTACAAAAACAAAAACAAAATGAAATGAAAAAATACATACCAGGTGGTAATGTTGTAAGATGATTTAAATCTGTAATTATTTCTCGATTACCATAATCAACAAAATAAATTGATATACGATTATTTCCTTCAATTTTTTCAACACGTGCACGATACCATTCATTATCAGCTGTAAAACGTGCAGCTAATAATTCACCTTTTTTTTCGTTTATATTCACCGATAGGTTTTGTTCGATTAAATATTTCACGTAATTCAGATTGTAATTGTTCAAGCTTTCGTCCGTGTTCAGAATATTGTAGATAAATTTTTAAGTCAGATGTTATATAAGTAATAAAAGCATCACGAAAACGTGGATCAGTAAAATTAATTATATCTGATTCATATATATTTTCATCTTTTATACAAAAATAAAAAAACAAAAAGAAAGTTTAGGTTATTAAAATAAATACTTTGATTTACTTTCAGGATTATTTTCTCTTTCATTTTCATTTTCATTCTCTTTTATTGATGATTGTTCATAATTAGTCCAAATACAAATATGTTCCTTTCGACATTTTTCTTCAGCTTCTAATAATTGTTTATAATTTGATGCATTATATGCAGAATTATGTATTTTAGCAAGACCAGTTTGTACAAGTATTAATGCAACTGATTGTCCATCAGTAGTTGTTAAACGACCAATAAAATTACTACCACGATCCATACTTTCAACTTCAACAAAAATATCTCTAAAAAGAAATCAAATGATTCGTTTTTCTTACTAATTACTCAATTGAAAAAACATATATTACGAGGTCAATTAAATGAAATAGCTATAAAAAAAAAATTTTCATGGAAATTAAATTCGATGCGTTGAGATACATGAGAGTAAGAAATTGGTTCTAATATAAAAATAATATAGAAATTATGTGTATAGCTTTGTGAAATCCTAGAAATAAATTTTCTAACTTGAAACATCTCGGCGTCATTCCTATATTCAAATAAATTTTCAGATCTAATCCAATGCTAAATTGGAATGGTATTGCTTCGTTTGTATCAAAACATCATATAATAATATGCAGAAATTTGAATTTATCATAACCTTTTATTAAAACTTTTATTTTACCGTTGTAAGAAATGTTCTTTGGAGAAATTTAATGCTTCAATACCAAATGGTTCATCGGATTCAATTTTTTGTTGTTGTTGTGAATTACTACTCACAGGAATACGTCGTTCAACACGTGGACAATTAATTGATGATAATAAAAATGACATAATCCAATTATCTTTTAATAAATGTATACGAAAACGAGAACCACTTGCAACAAATTCAACAACACCATCCATACGACCATTACGTTGAAGAATATTTAGTAAACCTTTAGCTCGTTCTTTATTAGTATCACCAGTCATATCAACAATACGATAAAGATCACTACTATTTGAAAATAAACCAACAGAACATTTTTCTGCTTGTTGTTCAGCAATAAGAAGATCATCTAATGTAACAAAAAAAAAAAGAAAATTTTCATCGAATTAAAATAAATAAAAAAGCAACAAACCATAACGAGATGATCGTTGTTCATTATCTTGTCGATATCTTATAGCTTTTGCAAAACCTTTTGAAATTAAAACTTCACCAATATTAATATTTCCAATATAAACAGTACAATAAATTTTTTCTGGATAATTATTATTTACTGGTTGAATATAATCAGTAACAATACATACAATTTTATCAATTAAACGTTTACGAAGTAATTCACGTGCAGCAAATAAATATGGTATTTCATAAAGTGATCGTTTTATTTGTTGTCGATTAAGATTTGAATTATTTTCATCAGTTTTTTGTTGAAAATCAGCAGTACGTGGAGAACGAACAGATGAAAGATAGATCTTTTTAATTTTATTGTCACGTAAATCACGAATTGTTAATACATCACAATTAACAATTTCCAAGATTTTAGCCTGAAAAAGTTTATAAAATTGAATCTGTATATTTTCTTCTTATTATCAATAAGAAAAAGTTGAGAAGAAGAAAAAAATCTATTCGGAAGTCACGCTGGCATTAGAAGAAAGTTTGCCGACTGATAAATTGCTTTGATGTCGAAACTATACCCATTGTGTAAACTCAAATGAGCTATAAATACTATGAGAAAAGAGTTCGTGTCTTTAGCTTATTGCTACGAAGATTCTGTACTTTTACAATATTTTTTAAATGAATGCTGTGATCTTCCTAGAGACAGACCCCTTAACGAGAATAGTTTATTGTGAAAGTTTCAGAGTTTTTGATTTGCTTGTATCTTGAAATACGAATATCAAATCTGTCAGTTTAAATCATTCGAATCTACATAATGCACATAGTCTCGACTCAAAAATGATTTATCCGTTGGAGAATTTCGCTAGATAGTGTTGCATTATAGACATGTCGTTAGCTTATCTGTTGCTATACATTGATTTACCACTTGTCTTCATATGTACAACTATACACAATCGATTTCATTGAACATACAGAACATATCCATTTTTTCAGATAATTCTCGTTTAGTTATTGTTCTAGGATATGTTGAAAAATCACTCGATAATCATGACCAAAACAAGTTGCGACGATTAGATGCTAAAAGATTTTCATCTTGGCTTCGGTCCAAGAATAGATGTTACTAATTCAAATTAAACAAGAAAGTAATCATTATGAGATTTCGCAGAAAAAAAATGACAGACATGCTAAAGACTAGATTCGTATCACGTTTTCAGAATGTGTTCGTGTATTGTGTAGAAAGTACGATACATTTTATATAAATGTGTATAAAGCATTAAAAATTCAAAACAAAAAGGACGATTGGTAATTACAGCTTTTCAATAAACTAGTTGATTTGATCAGAATGAGTTTTTATTTGTATTAAAGTAATGTGTTTTCATTGGTTTATTGAATGTAGATGAAAAAAGTTTGAAATCACTGTAAGTCAACTGTTTAGTTTCATTAGTAATGAGTGAGATCAAGAAGTCGACTTTGATCAAAATCGATTTATATTTCTGATCATAAGTTTACTAAAAATTTTGGTAACAGAAAGCTCAAAATAATTATTTTTAATTTCATCTCGTTTTCATTCGATTGATAAAATTGAGATCGTCTGACTATGTCGAGATATAAAATATTTTACGGACGTATGTTATCTATTGTAATAGATTTGAAGAATAGAAAATATATTGTAACATTTCTTAATAAGTAGTAATACTTCGAATTATAATTTTTATCTATTGATTTCACTACGTTGAAGTTATATCGTTCTTATTAATATTCTACTAGGCCACATTTCAATGTTCATCAGTAAATCTATAATAATGAAGAAGATGATTAGTAATCATTTTATCTTCCTCGAATAAATCTCTAGAAATTTCGATTACGTCTATAGCATTTTTGAGTAGTTGAATAATTTCTTATTTTTACCTGATATCCTTTAAGTGATGAATCATTTGATTTACTATTAACAGCTGAAGCAGTATTACTATCAATATCAATAAGAGCTGGTTGTGGTATATAATTTTGCCAAATTTTTAATCGGTTATCTTTTGCATATTTTTCTGCAGTACGATATTTTTCTCTTCAATCTTGCTGTAATAAAGTTAAAGTCCAATCAATACATTTAGCTAAACCTTCTTTTAATAAATATATTGCTATATTTCCATTTGGACGTAATAAAGTTCCAAGTAAATTTTGATTATTAACTCCATCTAATATAGCTTTAACTTGTCTTTGTAATAATCGTGTTTCAACATATTGTTTAGCTTCTTCAGCATATAGTTCATTTGTTGAATTATCATCACGTTTTAACATAGGGTATTTAATACCACTCAATTGTATCGTTACTAAATAATATGATGGTATAAGTAAACAACGTACTGTATTACCATCACGTATAAATTCTACAATAGCATCTAATGGTGGTGATGATTTATGTTTATCAACAAATTGTTTAGGATTTTTTAATGTCCTTTTCATATTTCTTATATAAGCATTTGGTGATTCATCTGAATAATGACCACGTCTATTTAATTTTGCTTGTTCATCAATAATAACTAAACGTTGATAATTAGCATCATTTGCGCGTGCACCAGTTTGTTGTCGTAATTCTACAAGACCTTCAGATAATAATGATTCAATAATATTTTCATCTGTTTCTTTATCTTTTCCTAAATAAACTGTACATAGTGAACGATTTGTTTGTGTTATATGAAAATCAATTGTATAACAAATTTCACGATCAACTAATCGTTTACGTAAATATTCACGAGCTTCAAATGCATATGGTTCATCAATAGATGATTCACTAGTATTTGAATTAGTTGGTGGACGTGCTAATTTTGGTACTGTTATATAATTTAAAGAAATTCGTTGTTCATTTTCATTAGTTGATGATGACCGTGTTTATGGTTTTATCACAAGTGTATCACCGGAAATAATTGATTTAACAATTGCATATCGTATTGGTGTTGTTATTGTCATTATTGTTTAACCAAGAAAAAAAAAGGAAAATATAACATATCTAAAATATGTATATATATATACACATATATTTAGCTGTTCTAACACATATGAAAGACACATTTTTTGTTTGTTCTTTTGCTCTTTTGTACATATACAAAAAAGAAAAAAATAATATAATATTTAAATAAAAAGATAAATTTAATCAGGCTGGGATAATGATAAAGGTGGACGAAATTCAATCATAAGAACATACTCTTGTACAGCACTATTTGAACATTTTTGCTTTGTTAAATGCCAATGTAAACCAATTTTATGATAGAGACGAGCATTTTCCCAATCAAGAAGTTTATTGACTTCATTCTTTGAACGCTTATTTAAACATAATACGGGACAGAATGAAAGGCCAAATGTACAACAACAACATATACAACCAAATAGTAACCTTAAATAAATAAATAATAATTTTCTTTTTTATAATTAAATATTTGATAGTATTATTTTGACAAGATAAGGTTAACCTTCAATGTTAATCTAGTGAACAATTTTTGTTCGTCTCGTCTTTCATTTTATACAATGATAACATTTCAGTATGTAATCAATTTCATTCAAACACATAAAATATATAAATCATTATATAATTGATAAGACAATACAATCGTTCTCTGACGAAAAACCTGTATGCATGAACAGAGTGATTTAAGATAAAGAAGGTAAAAAAAGAGAAATAATACAAAAGATGTATGAAGAATGTTTAGATAGAATTATTGAGAGTTTATTTTTTGTTAGATTTACTAAATTTATTCTAATTATTAGATATTCATAAAAACAAAATAACACTGTCGAAAAATCATTCAGATTTACTCAAATCATTTTGATTTATTTTATGGATAGAGTATTAGTGAAGTAAGAATTTCTGTCGTATTTGTCATTACTTGAAAAACAATGATTGATGTAGATTTTTTTTTTTGATTATCCACATATTTTATTTCTGACGTTCTGAAGAACTTATAAATCGAATGAGATATACAAAAGGGGAAAAATATATAATAACAAGATTAATACGAAAGAGAAAAGAACACAATAACATAATATTGATCACCTATAGAAGGAGAGAAGGAAAATAGATATTTATGCTATTCGTTGTTGCCAATATTTATTTTATTTTTGAGCAAATTTGAACCATATTTCTAACAAGGATTTGCGTTTCTTGTTCAGTTCTTTCATCCATCTTTGCTAAAAATAATGTCCTAGTCCATTATGACTTTTGTAATGAGTTAATTGAAAAATTTATACAAATCAATCACTAAATT